GGAGGGAAAACTTGAGTGAGATCAGCAGCATTTTTAAGGTCTTAGACCTAAGAGAGAGGAAAAGAGGGTGGGGAAAGGACAGGGGAAGGAGAGGGAAAGGTGAGTGATAGACCATTTATTTATTTATTTATTTAGAGACAGAATGTCACTTAGGCTGGAGTGCAGTGGTGTGATCTTGACTCACTGAATCTCTACCTCCAGAGTTCAAGCTATTCTCCTGCCTCAGCCTCCCAAGTAGCTGGGATTATAGTCACCTGCCCCCATACCTGACTAATTTTTGTAGTTTTAGTAGAGATGGAGTTTCACCATGTTAGCCAGGCTGGCCTCGAACTCCTGACCTCAAGTGATCTGCCCACCTTGGCCTCCCAAAGTGCTAGGTTACAGGTGTGAGCCACTGTGCCTGGCCCATTTTTATAAGCTCTCACAAGGGAAAGAGGTGACTGAAAGAATATTCACCAAAATGTTACAAATTGATTATTTCTGGATGGTGGCATTTCATGGGATTTTCATCTCCCTAATTCACTACAATGAATTCTATAGTGCAGCAGTCCCCAACCTTTTGGCACAAGGGACTGGTTTCTTGAAAGATAATTTTTCCACAGACTAAGGTGGAGTGGGGGATGGTTTATGATTCTCAGTGGGAGTCCTGAGCTTTTTTCCCTGCAACTAGATGGTCCCATCTGGAGGTGATCAGAGACGGTAACAGATTATCATAAAAAGCGTCCAACCTAGATCCCTCCCATGCAACAATTCATAGCAGTTCACAATAGGGTTTGCGTCCTATGAGAATCTAAAATCACTCTTGATCTGACAGGAGGTGGAGCTCAGCTTTGCTTGCTGACGTGCCTGAGGCTCACCTCCTGATGTGTGGCCTGGTTCCTAAAAGGCCATGGGGGTGTGGGGGGGGGGGGGGGGGGAGTGGGGTAGAGACCCCTGCTATAGTGGACATGTTTTGGTTTTGCCTACTTCGCATCTGTATTAGTTCATTCTTGCATTGCCATAAAAAACTACCTGAGACTGGGTAATTTATAAAGAAAACAGATTGAATTGACTCACAGTTCTGTAGGCTGTACAGGAAGCATGGCTGAGGAGGCCTCAGGAAACTTACAGTCATGGTGGAAGGCAAAGAGGAAGGTGTCACGTCTTACATGGCTGAAGCAGGAGAAAGAGAGTGAAGTGGGAAATGCTACGCACGTACAACCAACCAGATCTCATGAGAACTCTATTACAAGACAGCACTGGGGGATGGTGCTAAACCATTAGAAACTACCACCATGATCCACCTCCCACCAGGCCCTACCTCCAGCACTGAGCATTACAATTCAACATGAGATTTGGGTAAGGACACAGAGCCAAACAATATCAGCATCCATTTCCTTTCAAGGAAAAAGCCTCTCCAGTTTTGTTCTGGGAAACCTCTGCTCTCTGGTTGTGTGTAGTCTTTGAGGGTCAATCCACCCAGTGCCTTGCTCTCCCAAGCCAAGGGGTGGGTGTTGGACTCAAGCTCAGAGAGACCAGTAGATCTCCCTGCCTGGAATTTGCAAGAATGGAAGAGTGTTGTAGTTCCTCCAGCCCACTGTAGCAGTGTCGATTCAGGGCTGATACCTAGAGCTCACAGCTACTCTGGCTCTATGCAGTCCAAGCCTTGGTCTAGAGTGTTTCCTTACATTCTCTAAGCTACCTCATTGCATTTGGCTAAATTCCCTTTGATTCAAGTTAGTAGAATTAGTTTCCTTGTTTGCAATCAAATAATTCTGTCTATTAAACATATACAGATACACTTTGGAGATATGGTGGATTTGGTTCCAGACTACCATACTAAAGCAAATATTGCAATAAAGGGAATACCTCAATAAAGCAAGTCACACAGTTTTTTTGATTTCCCAGTGCATATAAAGGTTATTTATGTCTGGATGTGGTGGCTCACACCTACAATCCCAGCACTTTGGGAGGCTGAAATGGGAGGATTCCTTGAGCCCCAGAGTTCAAGATCAGCCTGGGCAAAACCCTGCCTCTACCAAAAAAAAAAAAAAATTAGCCAGGACTGATGGCACATACCTATAGTTGTAGCTACTCAGGAGGCTGAAGCAGGAGAATCACATTTAAGCCCAGAAGGCAAAGGTTGCAGTAAACCAAGATTATGCCACTGTACTCCACCCTGAGTGACAGAGCAAGATCCTGTCTCAAAAAAAAAAAAAAAAGTTGTTTACATTATACTCTAGTCTATTAAGTATGCAATAGCATTTTGTCTAAAAAATGTACACACTTTAATTTAGTTTATTGCTAAAAAGTGTTAACAATCATCTGAGCCTTTAGTAAATCATAATGTTTTTGCTGGTGTAGGGTCTTACCTCAATGGCTGCTGACTGATCAGGGTGGTGGTTGCTGAAAATTGGGGTGGATGTGGCAATTTCTTAAAATCAGTTAACAATGAAGTTTGCCACATTGATTGACTCTTCCTTCCATAAAAGATTTCTCTGTACTGTGTGATGGTGTTTGATAGCATTTTACTCACAGTAGAACTTCTTTCAAAATTGGAATTGATTCTGTCAAACCCTGAAGCTGTTTTATTAACTAAGTTTATGTAATATTATAAATCCTTTGCTGTCATCTCAACAATGCATTCACAGCATTTTCACCATGAATGGATTATATATCAAGAAACTAATTTTCTTTGTTCATCCATAAGAGACAACTCTTTATTTGTTAAAGTTTTATCATGAGATTGCAGCAATTTCATCACATCTTCAAGGTCCCTTTCTAATTCAAGTTCTTTTGCTATTTCTACCACATCTGTAGTTATTTCCTCCACTGAAGTCTTGAGCCCCCCTCAGTCATCTATCAGGGTTGAAATCAACTTCTTCCAAACTCCTATTAATGCTGATATTTTGACCTCCTCCATGAATCATGAATGTTCTTAATTGCATCTAGAACTTTAAATCCTCTCCAGAAGGTTTTCAATTTACTTTGCCCAGATATATCAGAAAAATGTCTATGGTAGCTACTGTCTTACAAAATGTATTTCTTGAGTAATAAGTCAAATTAACTCCTTGATCCACGGTTGTTGGAATGAATGTTGTGTTAGCATGCATTAAAACAACATTACTCTCCTTGTACATATCCATTAAGCTCTTGGGTGACTAAGGTAAATTGTCAGTGAGCCATAATATTTTGAAAGGAATCTTTCTTCTGAGCAGTTGATCTCAACAGTAGGCTTAAATTATTCAGCTAACCATGCTTTATACAGATGTGCTCTCATCGGGCTTTGTTCCATTTATAGAGCACAGGCAAAGGAGCTTTAGCATAATTCTTAAGGGCTCAAAAATTTTCAGAATGGTAATAAGCATTGGCTTCAACTTAAAGTACCCAGCTGCATTAACTCCTAACAATAGAGTCAGCCTGTCTTTTGAAGCTTTGAAACCAGGCATTTACTTCTCCTCTGGCTATGAGAGTCATAGATGGCACCTTCGTCCAATAAAAGCCTATTTATTCTATTAGGTTGGTACAAAAGTAATTACACTTTTTGCCATTGAAAGTCTATTGTTCAGTGTAGCCACCTTCATCTTAGCTAGAGCTTCTAGATAACTTGCTGCAGCTTCTACATCAGCACTTGCTGCTCTACTTTGCACTATTATGGAATGACTTATTTCCTTAAGCCTCATGAAGCAACCTCTGCTACCTTCTAACTTTTCTTCTGTAGCTTCCTCACTTCTCTCAGCCTTCACAGAATTAAAGAGAGTTAGGGCCTTGCACTGGATTATTAGGATTTGGCATAAGGGAATGTTGTGGCTGGTTTGATCTTCTATCCAGACCACTGAAACTTTCTCCGTATCAGCAATAAGCCTGTTTTGCTTTATCATGTGTGTTTGCTTGAGTAGCCCTTTTAATTTCCTTCAAGAATTTTTCCTTTGTATTCACAACTTGGCTAACTGTTTAGTGCAAGAGGCCTAACTTTTAGCCTTCTCAGCTTTTGACATGTCTTCCTCACTAAGCTTAATCATTTCTAGTTTTTGATTCAAAACGAGAGATATGTGACTCTTCCTTTCACTCCAATACTCAGAGGCCATTGTAGGATTATTAATTAGCCTAGTTGCTAATTAGGGAATAGGGTGGCCTGAGGAGAGGAAGACATGGTGGGGGAGTGAGGGGCAACAGCCTGTTGGTAGAGTAGTCAGAAAACACACATGACATTCATCAATTAAGCTTACAATAGTAATATCAAAGATATGATCACAGATCACCGTAATAGATATAATAATAATGAAAAGTTCGAAATATTGAGAGAATTACCAAAATGTGACTCTGAGACATGAAGTGAACCCATGTTGTTGGGAAAATGGCACTGATAGACTTGCTCCACAAAGTGTTGCCCAAACATTCCATCTGTAACTAACACAACATCTGCGAAGCACAATAAACCAAAAGGTAGTAAAACGAGGTATGCCTATAGGTAGTCTTTGCAATTTCCTCCTCGTAAAGAGAGAATGATAAAAGCACCTACCTCACAGGATTGTGAGGATTAAATGAGATCACATAGGTAAAGGGCTCAGAACAGTGCCTGGCACACAGCAAGTTCTGTAGAAGCTTTTGCTATTCTTCCTATTTTGTGGCTAGAGCCCCAGACTAGAATATTAGTCTGGCCCCTGGGTCATTTCTCTGTCAGCTCAGTCATGGGAGTTCATGGGTTCCTACTCCAGGACTCTAGCATTGTGAGATTCA